GGAGGAGCCTTTATATAGCGGCTCCTCTTCTACCGACTTGAAGGCCCTTAATGGCCGACTTCAAGACTAATTAAGATATGGAGCCGTTGGACGCCATTACTCGGTCGGCCAACGGCTCTTCCAGGCTTGTAACGGCCTGACCGAGTCCTGCTTTCAATGCCCTAACGGCTCCCTTTTAAACGAGCCTCTTCAATGCTCTCAACGGCTCCTTGAACCGAGTCTTTCCCTGGGCTTGGGCCTCGGTCGACTCCTCGTCTCGGCCTAAGCTCCCACTGGGCTCCTCTTTAGCAGCTCTGAACCGGGCCCCGTGCTTGGGCCTGGGCCGACTCCAGGACTCGGCCCGATTACTCTTCGGGCTCCTCTCGACGCTGGCCCACTTCTCCTATCTCGAACCATTTTCTTTGGGCCCCTATCTCTTGGGCCGGGGTCCTTACCCCATCAACTAGTCCCTCACTTTTTCATACCCGGTCCGCTAGCCTGGGTTTGGAAAAGTAGCAACTGTCCATCTCCTTCAATCACCGTATCCATGCCCTGAATAGCCTATTGTAACGTCTGGATCATCAGCCATTCTCTCCGGATCTCGCGGGGCCGTTTGGATTCTTCTGTCTAGACTTGGCACCTATAAATGGCCTCCTCCCTTATTTCTTTCTTTCACAAGTCCATCATGGGTCGTTCTCCTCTGAAAGGAAAACGAATTGACTTTGGGTCTCCTTGGCGTCCGCTGCCTTCCAAGCAGACTCGGCTTGAAAGGGAACACAAAAAGAAGACTCCTCGCCCGGCTTCTCAGAGGTCTCCTGCCGGCGCTACTCCTTCAGCTTCTCAGCCACCGACTCCTCCTCGACGTGAGGTCGCTCCATCTTCACGCCATCCGCCTACTCCCACAACTGCCCGAGTGACTTCTCAAGACGGGTCCTTCGTTGAGGTGGCGGTTCCAGAGCAACTTACTTTCAGAATGACCTTCTCAATCCCGCTGGACGACCTGGACGGGCCAGTTACGGGCCTAATGAATGATGAGGATTACGCCCGCTACCTGGAGGCGTATCCGGATGATGAGGAGCCAATTGCCCCACCACTCATGCCAGCTTTCTGGGACTCGTTCTGTCCATCCCCACCTGGACCACCGGGGGGATTCTTTGGGGGTGACTCTTCCTCGCCCGGCGAGTGATCATATGTACCGGAGTCGGTCATAGTTCGGAGGAATCTTTTTTAGGAGCATTTTTATATTCCTTATTGTAATAAGCTCCTTGCTACTTGTACCATCCTTTTTTATAATAAAAAATGCTATTTTCGCCTTGCCTTATGTTTTGTCGTGTTTTGTTGCGTACTCATCCGGACGACTGGTCAAGGAGTCGGTCACATCATCAGGCTCTTTTCAGTCTGACACCTGCAAGATTCCCCGTATCTCGGGTGAATCCAAACTTCTCTGTGTTGACGTGCGAATCTTGCTCTTCCCGGGCGGATTTGATGGAACTAATCTCTGACAGAGATTCGCGCCATCCGTCTAATCCGGCTTAGTTATGTCAGTTATAATCTCCTCCGTGATTATCGCCTAGATATTCTCCTTCACTGGGCTATATAAAGACCCTTCACAGTTGATGCAAATCGCAACACTCTTCATTTTGCGAAAGCACGGCGCTATGAGTTACAGAGATGGTGATCGCCACTGGTCCATTCGCAACACGGAGCATGCTCGACTGGAGCAGTTGAGGCAGAAGAGGCTGGCTAATGGAGGTCGTTTGGTGGGCGACTCGGCTTCAGACCCCATTGTGGTGCCTCCAGACATGCTGGACCTGATGTGTAGGGAGCCTATCGATGTGGAGATGGAGCCTGTGGTGGAGGATCCATAACCAATGGCGGAAGAGAAGTGGGAGGCTCCTCCCCTCTTTGGTGTCGCCATGTCGCCGAGCGCTCTGGAGAGGCCCTTGCAAATGATCGATGACGGGAAGCCAGCCGTGTATCTGGATGAAATGCTTGAGCCTGAGCCGAGTCCTATGCCTTTCCGCTCTCAGTACCTCCTGGAAGGCCCTCCGACTGCTCGCCCGTCGACAGAGAAAGAAGCCAAGCCTTGACCCGTTTTTCTCTTGTAACTTGCATCGGCCGAGTTCTGGGCCTTGTAATCTTTGTACTTATTAAATAAACTGTGTGCTTTTGTGTCCGACCCTACCTTTTCTTATTATTTTGTCGCCCGACCTCTGGTCTACGGGACTGATTCCTAGTCTTGCTACGGCGAGACCCTATTGGCGAGGGAGTCGCCGAGTCTGATTGCCGACCTGGCGACCGGAGTCTCTTCGTGAACTTGGCTGATATCATCTGATGGGCCGGGTTCTACCGGGTCGTTCTAGAAGTTTCTAGCTTGTACCTCGTGGGCCCAGAGGCCATGGCCTACGATGGGCTTCCGGCTTAGCAGGCCGGGTCACTGACGTCCGACCCTAGCCTAGGGCAGACGCGCCGTCTGCAGGCTAACCCTAGGCCTGAACCGTCGCCCCACCTTTTGAGGCATTAAATGCGGCGTCCCTTCACATCCCGTCACCTCCACTTCCTCCAACGAGAAGGTGGCACGTGGCCGTCCTTTGGAATTCCTCTCCCTTTAAATAGCCATTTCGTCTCTCTTTCCATTCTCTTCTCCAGTCTTTCCTTTCAACCTCAACTCGAGCTTCTCCGGCCACTCTGCATTTCCTCCGATCTCTCACCTAACTTAGGTAATGTCTTCTTCTTCACATTCTTCTTCTTCCCGTCGTTACTCGGTCGATAACCCGGTGGCGACTTCCCCCTCTTCTTCTTCTCCTTCTTCGTCTTCTTCTTCTCCTCCCCGTCGTATGGAACTTCCGGCGGACGTTCCATCGACGTCTTCTCTTCCTCCGACCCCCTCTTCTTCGGGGGCGATTACTCCGATGAGCCCCGCTCCTTTAACGACGGTGGCGGATCTGCCGGACGGCATCGGACGGCCGCGGGGCAAGTTCGATTCAATCGTCCGTCCTTCCGGGCCACCGTCCATCGTTACTGCGGCGGACCTGGAAATGGCCCAATACCTTCTTGGGCCTTCAGCCGTAGTCCTTGCCCCGGAAGGCCGGCAAATTTACGACCCACCCGAGGGTTTTGTCGGTATTCATCTGCACTCGGTTGCCTTTGGCTTCCGAGTTCCTCCGTGTCCTTTCCTTTCCCTTTTTTTATCGTCATTACAACTTAGTTCCGGGCCAATTAGTGCCCAATTTTCACTGACTCCTCACCTGCTTCGTCAACCTCTGCCACTGGTGGTTGTGCGAGCCGGATCTAGACCTGTTCCGGTATCTTTTTACCGTGAACAAGGTCGGCTCGCACTCGCTGGGCTTTGTTCAAGTTGTCGCTCGCCCGGGGCGACAGCTTTTCGAGGGGTTGTCCGACTCCATTAAGGACTGGAAGCTCCTCTATTTCTTTGTCCGGCCTGCTTTCTCTTCCTTCACCTTTCCGACCTTGTGGCCGGCCACTCTATTCAAGCCTTGCTCTCGGCGTGCCGTCCCTACCAACGATACGGTCCAGGGCGGCGAGTTCTTGAAGGGCTTTGGGCCGTACTCCGTCAAGTACTGGTCCCGAGTCTGGGCCATGGCTAAGCGTGGCTTGCTGCCGGAGGGTGCAGCCACCGTAGGTAGCTTTCGTTGCCTCTCGTTCCTCTTCTTTTTATTCTGTCACATTCCGACTCGGAATACTTATGACTTTCCTCCCTTTCGCAGGTCCGTACGACTCCGACTCCTCCAGTTCCAACGAGGCGGCTGAACCAACTCCAGAGATGACAGACAGAGCTGAAAAGATGAGGCGTCGGCTGACCCAGCGTGCTTCCGGCACTGCTGCTGCCTCTTCCTCCCAACCGTCGCCGGTTCCAAGGTCGACTCCCCCACCACCTCGTAATGTGGTGGATTTGACTCCGTCGCCAGTTGTGTCGCCCACTCGACAGCCGCCTCCTCCTCAGACCGAGAGTCTAAGCTCTAAGCGGCAGGCCGATCAAACGGATGAACCGGCTCCGAAAAGGATCCGGCTGAGCCACGAAGTAGAAGAGGATGCCTAGATCTGGATGGGCACCTCCTCCGTCCGCAAGTGGTGTGCTAACGTCCTTCTGCCTAAGGACGTGGCGACGACTCATGCTCTGGGGGATGAGTACATCATTGAGGCCTCGTTACGCCAGTCGTACCGCGTACGCGTTCCTGACTTAATTCCTCTTATTCGTTCTTTCCTTTTATTATCTGACTTGCAGCCGTTTCGCAGAACCTCATCTTCCAGATGGAGATGAGCAAGTGGCTGCAGAACTTCAGGACCGAGATGCGGTCTATGGCCCTCAAGTTACGCCAGACGGAGGAGGCCTTTCTGGAGGAGCAAACTAAGCACGCCAAGGCGGTGGAGGTGCACAACTCCGAGATGATGAGGGTCACTCGCCAGTGGGAGGAGGAGCGAGACAAGGTGGCGACCATTGCCGCGACCTCGGTGGACGACTACAAGAAGTCGGCGTCCTTCGAGGCGGACGTGAAGGCGGCGATAGAGGCCCGGCAGAAGGAGATTGCCAAGGCGTGGCTGGCGACGCCGGAAGGTGACGACTTCCTTCTGGATTTGGGCGAGCGCGACTATCGCCTCGGCTTCCGCGAGGCGCAGGCAGAAATCCATTCCGCCCTGCTGGTCCGCGACTCCTCTTTTACCCCCGAGAGCTGGGGCCTCAAGCCGGTTATAGACGCTCTCCCGGCGGCTGTTGATCCAGCGGCTCTCCCTGCGGCGGCTCCTCCCAATCTTACTGAGTCCTCCCCTCAGGCAGAGGACCCTTCTTCTGTTCCTTCAGCTGGGCCAACGGCGGAGGCACGAGTTGAAGGGGTTAATGTCGACACCCCCTCCCCAGTAGTTTAGGGCTATTCTTTTAGGATGGTCCCTTTTGTAAAGGCTGGCCTCCTTCTCGGGCCCTTTTTTTAAAAAAAAAATTAATAAAATTCCCATTTTCTCTTCCTTTCCGTATTATCTTGGGCTCGACGCTTTTTCTTTAACCTTCAATGGTTCTGTAAATCGAAGAAGTATTCTTAAGGCATCAGGCCCTGCTAACCCTGAGGGACGACTTAGGATCGAGTCCTTGTTAACTCTTTGGGTGCTCGCCGAATCCCGCAGTCGAGGCGACTTCTTTTAGCCTTTCTCAAAAACGACTAAGGGTCTGGGCCCCTGTTTCCTAACTTTCTCTCGCCGAGTCCCTCAGTCGAGGCGACTCCTTAGGCCTTTTCTTTTCTCAGAAACGTTTAGGGTCAGTGCCCCATAGTTTCTTTATATGCTCGCCCAGTCCCTCAGTCGAGGCGACTCCTCTTGGCTTTTCCACGGAAACGACTAAGGGTCTGGGCCCTTGTTTCCTAACTTTCTCTCGCCGAGTCTCTCAGTTGAGGCGACCCCTTAGGATTTTTCTCTCTCAGACACGTTGAGGGTCAGTGCCCCATAGTTTCTTTATATACTCGCCGAGTCCCTCAGTCGAGGCGACTCCTCTTGGCTTTTTCACGGAAACGACTAAGGGTCTGGACCCTTGTTTCCTAACTTTCTCTCGCCGAGTCCCTCAGTCGAGGCGACCCCTTAGGCTTTTTCTTTCTCAGAAACGTTTAGGGTCAGTGCCCCATAGTTTCTTTATATACTCGCCGAGTCCCTCAGTCGAGGCGACTCCTCTTGGCTTTTTCACGGAAACGACTAAGGGTCTGGGCCCTTGTTTCCTAACTCTTTCTCGCTGAGTCCCTTAGTCGAGGCGACTCCTTAGGCTTTTTCTTTCTCAGAAACGGTTTAGGGTCAGTGCCCCGTTGTTTCTTTATATACTCGCCGAGTCCCTCAGTCGAGGCGACTCCTCTTGGTTTTTTCACGGAAACGACTAAGGGTCTGGGCCCTTGTTTCCTAACTTTCTCTCGCCGAGTCCCTCAGTCGAGGCGAACCTTTAGGCTTTTTCTTTCTCAGAAACGTTTAGGGTCAGTGCCCCATAGTTTCTTTATATACTCGCCGAGTCCCTCAGTCGAGGCGACTCCTCTTGGCTTTTTCACGGAAACGACTAAGGGTCTGGGCCCTTGTTTCCTAACTCTTTCTCGCCGAGTCCGGGGAGTGATTAACTGTAACTTGTACTTTTTATTCAAGTCTCTCAGGACCCTTGGGCCCATACATGTTCTGTCCCTTTCTATTGATAGAACTTCTTTAGGTGGATGACTTTCCAAATCCGGTCCACGGGCTTGCCCTCCATGATTTCCAATTTGTAGGTTCCAGCCTGGACAACCGCGGCAATGCGGTATGGTCCCTCCCACTTAATCGCAAGCTTGCCCCCCTTTGTGGGTTGACTGGCCTGTCGATCCCATAGTACAAGGTCGCCGACCTGGAAGGTTCGCGGACGAATCCTCCGGTCGCGATATCTTTTTACCGCCGGTTAGTATTCAGCCATTCGCGCACTCGCGGCTTCCCTCTTTTCTTCTAAGAAATTTTTCTCAATTCGAAGACTCTCTTCGTTCTCCGTGTCTGAATAGGTACGGACCCGGTGAGTGGGCTCGACCACCTCAATTGGAACCTTGGCCTCAAAGCCGTACGCGAGTGAGAATGGACTCTCTCCAGTTGCTCGCCGTTGGGTAGTGCGATAAGCCCATAGGACTCGATCAAGCTCATCCGCCCAATTCCCTCGAATATCTTCCAATTTCTTTCGAATCCCATCCACTAGCGTTCGATTCACGTTCTCGACTTGTCCGTTGGCCTGTGGGTACGCCACCGACACCTTAGTGTGGCGGATATCGTGCCGGCGGCAGAAGTCGGCGAATGCCTGACAATCGAACTGTCGCCCGTTGTCGCTGACAATGTGCTCGGGCAGGCCGAAGCGGCAAATCACCCTTTTCCACAAAAAGCGTCGGCATTGGTACTCGGTTATGGTAGCCAGTGGTTCTGCCTCGACCCACTTGGTGAAGTAGTCGATAACTACGACACAGAACTTCAAGCCTCCGGGGGCGACTGGTAATGGCCCCAACAAATCAATCCCCCACTTGGCAAATGGGATGGCGGTGGTGACCGGCGTGTAAAAAGTAGCTGGCCGAGTGTCTTTCTTGGCGAATGCCTGGCAAACGCCGCACTTGGATATCCATTCAATACAGTCCCGCATCATAGTTGGCCAATAGTATCCTTGGACGACTAACTTCCGAGCGAGCGTGTGGGCACCCTGGTGCGCGGCACAGATGCCTCTATGGGCTTCGTCCATTATTTTCTCGGCCTCGGGCCTGAACAAACATCTTAACAAAGGTCCTCCGAACGACCGTTTATATAATTGCCCATCAATGATTTGAAAAGAGGGGGCCTTTCGTCGAACCCTTGCGGCGACTCCCGGGTCTTCCGGTAACTCGCCTTTTTCTATGAATCGCTGGATGTCCTCTATCCATAACATCTCGGGGTTTTTCTCTCGGTCCCATTCTTCGTCAGTCACTTGCTGGATCCTTAGCGGTGTTTCTTCAACGCTTGGTCGACTTAGCTCCTCCATCTGACAGATTTTTACCAGGTGGTCCGGTACTCCTTCCAAGGCAATCTTGGACAATATGTCAGCTTCTACGTTATCCGTTCGAGATATATACTCTATTTCGTAGGCTCCGAACTCTTTTAACATCTCAACCGCGCGCTCTCTATATAGAGTCATCCGGGCATTCTTGGCCTCGCATGTGCCTGAGATCTGCCCGACTACTAACCTAGAGTCAGTCTTGACTCGTAACCTCTCGACCCCTAAGGCCCTGGCGAGTCGGAGGCCGTTTAACACAGCTTCGTACTCGGCCTCGTTGTTGGAGGCTTGGAACAGGTAGCTCAAGGCATAATATAGTCGGAATCCTTCGGGAGTGATAAGCACAACACCACCTCCACAGTGCTGTCGACTTGATGCTCCATCCGCATGCATTTCCCACCACTCGCCTAAGCAGTTCTCCGTGGGGTGTTCCTTCTCTTCTTCACTCGCCGTGCATTCGACCAAGAAGTCGGCCAAGGCTTGACCTTTTATGGAAGGCCGGGGCTGGTACTCAATCCCATACTGGGTTAGCTCTACGGCCCATTTTACCAGGTGGCCAGACGACGAAGGGTTTCGCAAATCGCTTCCGAGCGGTTGGTCCGTCAGCACTCGGACGGTGTGGGCTTGGAAGTAGGGCGCCAACTTGCGCACGGTGATCACCAACGCATATACAATCTTTTCCAAGGCGGTATAGCTTGACTCGGCAGCTTTCAGGGAACGGCTCACGTAATAAACCGGGTGCTGGACTCGTTCTTCCTCTCGGACCAACACCGAACTCACCGCCTTGCAGGAGGCGGCTAAGTACAGAAATAAGGGCTCGCCCGCCTGGGGGGTAGACAATATCGGGGGTGTCGAGAGGTATTGTTTCAATTCCTAAAACGACTGATGGCACTCAGGGGTCCAAGCGAATCCTTCATTCTTCTTCATGGCTTCGAAGAAAGGCACGGTCTTATCCGCCGCCTTGCTCAGGAAGCGGCTAAGGGCGGCCAGTCGGCCGGTCAACCGTTGCAGGTCTTTTACAGTGCTGGGAGGCTGCATGTCGACGATGGCCTGTACTTTCTCAGGGTTAGGCTCGATACCTCGCTTGGTGACCATGTAGCCTAGGAACTTTCCACCTTGCACGGCGAACGCGCATTTCTTAGGGTTCAGCCGGAGGTTGTACTTTATCATCACTTTAAAACAGTCGGCCAAATCCTCTGCGTGTTTGCTCTCCTCTCGGCTCTTGACGAGCATGTCATCGACGTACGCGGCCATCGATTTTCCCAGCAGGTGCTAGAATAGTCGGGCCACCATTCGGGTATATGTGGTTCCGGCGTTCTTGAGCCCGAAGGGCATGACTCGGTAGCAATAAACTCCGTCCGGTGTCAGAAACACGGTCTTTTCTTCGTCCGCCGGGTGCATGAATATCTGATGGTACCCCCTAAAGGCGTCCATAAAGCTAAACAGTGCCGACCCCGCCGTCTCGTCGACCAGTTGATCGATCCGAGGTAAGGGAAACGGGTCTTTTGGGCAGGCCTTATTAAGGTCGGTGTAGTCCACGCACATCCGCCACGCCGGGGGCTTGGGTACAAGGACCACATTCGCCAACCACTCCGGGTACTTAACCTCACGGACGTGCCCGGCTGCTAGTAGCGTGCTCACTTCCTTCTTCACAAATTCTCTTCGGTCGTTGGCCAGGTATCGCTTCTTCTGTATGACTGGTCGATGCTCGGGATCCACGGCGAGTCTGTGCGATATGATCGATCGGTCGACGCCAGGCATGTCCTCCGGGCCCCAGGCGAAAACCATCCGGTGTTCCCGGAGCACCTTTATAATTTCTTCCTTTACTTTCTCGGGGAGGCCGACTCCAATTCGGACCCGTCTGTCCGGCTGTGTGGAGTCGATCTTGACTTCCTCCAACTCGACGGCAGGCTCAGGGCGAGGTATTATCGTCTTTTTTGGGGGCCTCTCGGTGATCTCATGGACCTGCATCTCGCGTTTGCCCATCCCTCTGCATGCTTGTAGATAGCAGTCGTGGGCGACTTTACGGTCACAGCGCACCGTACCTATCCCGTTTGGCGTGCGGAATTTCAAGCAAAAATGCTCGATTGAAATCAGAGCTCCTAGATCCTCGAGACCCGGTCGGCGGAGTATAGCGTTATGCGAACAGGCCAGGTTTACCACAATGAACTTTATGCTGAGTTTCTGTACATCTGGATAACTGCCAATCTCAACTGGAAGTGTGATCGACCCTTCCGCCTCCACCGAGTCCCCTGTGAAACCGGCGAGGGGAGTTTTGACAGGATTCAGCTGTTCTCGAGTCAGCCCCATTTTGATGAAGGTTTCTAGGTATAGCACATTGACGCTGCTCCCGGTGTCTACCAGGATTCGTCGAACGACAACGCCATTGATGTCCATGGCTATAACCAACGCATCTCGATGCGGTATCTCTCCGGCTGGTAAGTCTCTGTCAGTGAACACGAGGGGCTCTCGGCACACCTTTTTAGAGTTCTCCTCGCGCCCGTACACCGTCCCGACGTACAACTGTCGGGCCCAGGCTTTTCTGGTGTTCGCTGAGTCACCACCTTCCGGCCCGCCGACTATCATGTTGATAACTGGCTTCTGGCGCCACTGAGCCTCATCTTCTTCGGGAGCCGGCTGCTTGCTTCGACTGTTTTCGGCAACGGCGGCGGGATCCTCATCCCCTCAATTGACCGATCTCCGCCTCCACTGATTAGGAGGCGGGGTTCCTTGCTGAATAATACCCTCCATGATCTTCTTAAGGTAGAAGCATTCCTCCGTGCTGTGGGTATAAGATTTATGATAAAGACAGTACTTAGAGGTCTTACCGGTCTCTTCGTTTGTCGCGCGATCGTCGATCGGCGGAGGCGGAGGCAGGGCAAACGTTTGTATCTCGTGGACCGGCCGTTCGGGAGCCGGCCGATAGGCGTGGACGACAGGTCTGTCGTACGGTCGTCTGACTTCGGGTCCTCTTCCCGCTGGCGGATCCGCCGACTTCGCGCTGCCGCTTATGCTTCATAGCCTGCTCTGTGTTGGCCCTCTTGTTGGCCATATGAATGGCTTCTGCGTAGGTAGCCGGGCGATTGTCCCTTAGGTCTCGGTATAGCTGGCCGGACCGCAAGGACTCGATGAAGAAGGTGAGCGCCGTCTGGTCCTCGACCTCCTCTATGGACTGGATTTCTTTCTGCCAGCGGGCCAGATAGGCTTTCAAGGACTCGCCTTCATCCTGATGAATGTCGCCCAGGTGTGTTAGGTCCTTTTGTGGTTTGATATTAGCGGCATAGTGGCTCATGAAGCAGTCCGCCAGCTCTTCAAAGCTGTGAATCGACCCCGAGGGCTGCGCCACTAGCCACCTTTGTGCTGATCCTTTCAACGTGGGTAAGAAAGCGCGGCACATGACCGGATCTCGTACCCCTAAAACTTGCATCTTAGCCTGATAGCTCAGCAAATGCTCTCGGGGATCGCCCGTCCCATCGAACGTGGCCTGCTCCGGGAACTTGAAATCACCCGGTATCTTAAAGGCCATGACCTCGTCCGAGAAGGGTAAGGCGGTTAATAACGTACGTCCTGGGGATTTGGCTTTTCCCTCCATCTGTTCTTTCAGATTTCGCACTTCTTGGACTAAGTTTGCCACTTCGACCCTCTCCCGGGTGCGGTTTCCTGTGGATTCCGTGCTCTCGCCGACTTCAGACTCGGCGGGTTGGTCGTGGTTGCGGAGGGGTTGCTCCACGCGGCAAGTCTCAGTCCTGGTTCTTTTGGTACGGTTCTTCTCTCGTGCAGCTTGCTGATCGCAAGCAGCTAACGGGGCACGACTGGGTTCCTTCCGACCCAGTCGTTCTCTTGCCGACCGCCGCCCGGCGCTGGGACCCAGCCGAGAATGAATGGACTGTACCGGCTGGCTTTCGGCCCTTCAGTTCTGTTGCCGGTTGTCGGGCCTATGAGGCGGCTGTGAATCGCGTTGTGGCTGGCGAGTGACGGACTGTTCTCTCACTCCTCGGCTTGCTTCGGCGCAGGCACGCCCGATTGCACGTAGCTGCTCTGGGGTGAGCTGCACCTGGGGCAACTGTTGGTTTATCGGTGGTGTCGGCGGCGGTGTTGTCTCGTTTTCCCGGCTCTGGGTGTTTCTCCGATTCAGCTGGCTTCTCAAGTCTGCCTCCCGTCCATTATCGTGACGACTTGATTGTTCCTCACTTCCTGCCATGTCAGGAGCTTTTCTAATTCGACTGAGATTCTCCTTGTCGTTTCTTGGACTCGCCTCACTCAGGAGGACACGTGACTCTTAGTTTCGATCCCCACAGACGGCGCCAGTGATGGTTTTTGGGTTTTCGGGCCCAAGGAGGTCCAACACAACCTTTGGCTGGAGGATACACCTTTCAATAAAATGTATGTCTATATTGGAAATAATGCTAGTGCTCGGAATCTCTTCGGTATTCTCCCCTCTCTGGGTATTCAATCGTCTCCCCTTTTACAAGAGCGGAGGAGCCTTTATATAGCGGCTCCTCCTCTACCGACTTGAAGGCCCTTAATGGCCGACTTCAAGACTAATTAAGATATGGAGCCGTTGGACGCCATTACTCGGTCGGCCAACGGCTCTTCCAGGCTTGTAACGGCCTGACCGAGTCCTGGTTTCAATACCCTAACGGCTCCCTTTTAAACGAGCCTCTTCAATGCTCTCAACGGCTCCTTGAACCGAGTCTTTCCCTGGGCTTGGGCCTCGGTCGACTCCTCGTCTCGGCCTAAGCTCCCACTGGGCTCCTCTTTAGCAGCTCTGAACCGGGCCCCGTGCTTGGGCCTGGGCCGACTCCAGGACTCGGCCCAATTGCTCTTCGGGCTCCTCTCGACGCTGGCCCACTTCTCCTATCTCGAACCATTTTCTTTGGGCCCCTATCTCTTGGGCCGGGGTCCTTACCCCATCAGCTACATTATCCTTACAATGTCTTTATTCAGTGAAAAAAAAATTATTAATTATCAATAAATTAATTAAAAGAAATATTTTCATTAGTTATATTGTCTTTATTTTTCTCAAATGTAAAAATTTTTACATTCAAATTCATCAATTGATTATATTCACTACATTATCTATTATCTTTTTTGTGCACTATTTTTCTAATTAAATATCAAAGTTATAATACAAAATAATGCTATATATTTATTTACCAAGTATTTTATTAATACCATGAAAAAATTAAAAAAATATAATTAATAAAGCCAACCATATTAACTACTTGAGAGATTTTGTGACAAAGAGAGTATTCAAATCACACAACAAATTGAAGTGAGAACTACCTCGCAATGTCCTTGTTTGACAATCAGCAGTTAGGGGTTAGCGTTAGCGAATTATACTAGCGGATTTGACCAGCGAATTTATTTAATTATTAACATTAGGTAGAAAAAATGACCGCCAAATTATTAAATCAAATGAATGGTTCATATTGTTCAGGTTTTAACTTTTTTCTTTTAAGATTTTCTAATTTATCCTTAATTATATGATTATCCATTTAATTTTTCCGTTAATTCACCGTTAGTCTAATTCTAATATTAAAGTCTAATATAGAATTATAACTACACCATTAATCTAATTCTAATATTAAAGTCTTAATAGAACTTAACCACAAATCCTAATGTCGCAATCTCCTCAAACAATATTAGTAAATATTTAATATTTTATGCCCTAATTTTTATTTGTTCTCCCTTATGTTCCGTATTTGGTTTCAACCATACCTATACAATTATTTTATTGACAATTATAATTAATCTTGACTATATTATCTTGCATTTGTAAACTTAGAATTACCTATTTAACCCGCACCGGCTTAGCTCAATGGTTTAGTGGGTAGTATTTGGGAGAAGAGACCAAGGTTTGAACCTCGGCGGCGGCAGTGCGGGAATTATGTCCAAAGTGGGCAGATTCCTTGTGCGTATCAGCATTTACAACCTCCCACAATGCTCTGTCGGGTCGGAGTGTGGGGGGCCCTTGGGGTTGGAGACTCAACCTTTGGAGAAGAATTACCTATTTAAATACGCAAATTCAACCTTCAATTATCTATGCATGAACAATTTCAATATAATCCTGCCTTAATATACTTTAAAGTACTTATTTAAAAAAAAAAAATTGGGCATTATCCCAATCGCGCAATGCGCGTAAAAAACTAGTTCATGTTATAATTAACTTGGGTCATTAAGGTTCATGGGCCTGACTTAAGCAATTTTGTGCTATAATTATTATCATTGCGTGATTTTGAGTCATTAAGGGTTTAAGGATTACAATTACCATTTGAAGTCATTAAGAATTATAATTATTGTTTTGGCCATTAAGAATTATAAATATTATTTAAGTTGATTATGTTTTAATCTATTAATAGTTTTCAGGGTCTTAACGATAATCTTAAGTATTTTTCATGGCAAGCAATGCACATAGTTGATATATTGCCTTTCGAATGGTAATTTGGTTATACCTTAATTTCAGTTTCCTTATGGACTCATTACAGTCTTGATTAATTATTATGTGGTAAATTGAGATTAGTATTTAGCATCCCTTAATTACAGTTTTACATTTAATTGCAATTATCATTAATTTGTATTATTAATTACTGTTATTAAGTTTAGGGGCTAATCTCATGTATTACGTTTCATAATAATTATTCATTCATATTAATCTACTATATTTGGTACATTGGTAAGATTACCCATGTCACTTCATTTTTCATTATTATTAATAATGGTAATTAAGTGTTACCAATAAACTGTTACGTACCATTGGGCGATTCAACTAAACTCTCCGTGAAGATGGGAGATTTTGGAGGCTTTCTTCGCTATCGCTGTTAGTGCTATCGATAGATGCAGTTTGCAAAATTAAGGTACTCAAATCATTAATTACAGTTTATTATTATTGGTAACTACTGTTATAGCTGTTAACCATTTTGAACAAGTCACAATATTTTATCCTTAAGAATATGGAAACATTAAGATATGTATTACCATGTTTGTCATTATTAAAATGTTCATAGTTATTATAATGCTCCTTATTACTGTTAATATTTTAATTAATTAATGATAACATTATTTTTTATGCATGGTATTAAGACATGAATTGTTTCCAAATTGATTTATGTGGCATTTATTTTCGGACTTAAGTTTTATTAAATTTTGAAGTGATATCCGAAAATGTTTTAAAGGTTAACAAGTTTTAACTATTGTTTTTTTTCATATTTAGTCTCCAAATTAACATAATACTATTATTATGGCTATTTATTACTTTTTTGGTTTATTTGCGATTTTTTGCCATTAATAATATTATTAATTGAGTTTTG